AGCCTGAGCCGACACAGCCTGAGCCGACAGAGCCTGGGTGGACAGAGCCTGGGCCGACAGAGCCTGAGCCGACAGAGCCTGGGCGGACAGAGCCTGGGCCGACAGAGCCTGAGCCGACAGAGCCTGGGCCGACAGCGCCTGGGCCGACAGCGCCTGGGCAGACAGAGCCTGGGCCAACAGACCGTGAACTGATAGACTGAGTCTGTGAGATTTAAAAAAAAAATTTTTTTTTGATACAGAGTCTCTGGGATTAGCGGCGTGTGCCATCACACCCAGCTAAAAGATACACTTTAAATATAAAAAACACAGGTAGGCTGAAAGTGACTGCAAAAACCACAAACACACACACACACATATACATATATACATATACACACATATATACACGTGTATGTGTATATATATAATCAGGCTGGAGTGGCTTTTGTTGTTGTTGTTGTTGTTGTTTGAGATGGAGTCTCGCTCTGTCTCCAAGGCTGGAGTACAATGGCATGATCTCAGCTCACTGCTACCTCCATTTCCTGAGTTCAAGCGATTCTCCCACCTCAGTCTGCCAAGGAGCTGGGACAACAGGCACGCACCACTTTACCCAGCTAATTATTGTATTTTTAGTAGAGATGGGGTTTCACCACATTGGCCAGGCTGGTCTCGAACTCCTGACCTCAAATTACCCGCCTGCCTTGGCCTCCCATATTGCTGGGATTACAGGCATGAGCCACCGCACCCAGCCTGGAGTGGCTATATTTATGTAACACGAAATCAGTTTCAAGATACAGAGTGTTACCAGAGGGAAAGCAGGGGAGGGAAGACATCAGTTATGAATGTGCCTAATAACAGAGCCTCAAAATACATGAAGCAAATCCAACAGGATTAAAGGGAGAAATAGACAATCCCACAATCATAGGAGGAGATTTTAACATCTCTCTCTCTCCAATTCTTAGAACAGTAGACCAGAAACATCTGAAGACATGGAGGATCTGAATAACGCTATCATCATCTTGACTTAAGTGGTATTTATAGTAACATATCAGGCTGCACGTGGTGGCTCACACTTGTAATTCAGGCACTTTGGGAGACCGAGGCAGGTGGATCACCTGAGGTCAGGAGTTCAAGACCGACCTGGCCAACATGGTGAAACACCATCTCTACTAAAAACACAAAAATTAGCTGGGTGTGGTGACGGGCACCTGTAATCCCAGCTACTTGGGAGGCTGAGGCAGGAGAATGCCGTGAACCCAGGAGGTGGAGCTTGCAGTGAGCCGAGATCACACCATTGCACTCCAGCCTGGGCAAGAAGAACAAAACTCTTCTCAAAAAAAAACAAAAACCAAAAGTTACACATAGTAAATAACCAAAGTGCACATGGTACATTTTCCAGCACAGACCAACTGCTGTGTCCTAAAACAAGTTCCAACCAATTTTAAAAGAATCATACAAAGTACACTTTCTGAGCACAAAGGAATTAAATTAGAAATCAACAACAAATAAAACAGGAAAAACTCAAATGTTTGGAAATGAACCCACTTTTGAATAAACCCTGGGTCAAAGAAGAACTCAAATGGGAAATTAGAAAATATTTCCAGGCTGGGGCCAGGCGCGGTGTCTCACACCTGTAATCCCAGCACTTTGGGAGGTTGAGGCGGGTGGATCACAAGGTCAGGAGTTCAAGACCAGCCTGGCCAGCATGGTGAAACCCCATCTCTACTAAAAATACAAAAAATTAGCTGGGCGTGGTGGCGCACACTTGTAATCCCAGCTACTCGGGAGGCTGGGGCAGAGAACTGCTTAAAAACCCGAGAGGCGGAGCTTGCAGTGAGCCGAGATTGTACCACTGCACTCCAGCCTGGGCGACAGAGCGAGACTCTGTTTAAAAAAAAAAAAAATTTCCAACTCGGGTGGGGAAAAAACAGAAGAAAATATATTTCCAACGGAATGATAATGAAAATATAACGTCAGAATTGCTGGTGTAGCTGAAGCAGTACTTAGAACTCTACAGCTGTAAGTGCATGTAAAGGCATGAAAGCAGAGACCTGAGATTCACTCTGGAAGCCAGGAAAAGAAAGAAACCCAAAGCCAAAAAAGGGGGCCAGGCGGCCGGGCGCGGTGGCTCACGCCTGTAATCCCAGCACTTTGGGAGGCCGAGGCGGGCGGATCACGAGGTCAGGAGATCGAGACCATCCTCCTGGCTGACACGGTGAAACCCCGTCTCTACTAAAAATACAAGAAATTAGCCGGGCGCGGTGGCGGGCGCCTGTAGTTCCAGCTACTCGGGAGGCTGAGGCAGGAGAATGGCGGAACCCGGAAGGCGGAGCTTGCAGTGATCGGAGATGGCACCACTGAACTCCAGCCTGGGCGACAGAGCGAGACTCCGTCTCAAAAAAGAAAAAAAATGGTAAGACAAACCACAGGATGCAAGAAAATATTTGCAATATACATAAATCTGATGAAGAACGTGTTTTAGCCGAGCGCGGTGGTGACGCGCACCTGTAGTCTCAGCTGCTCGGGAGGCTGAGATAGGAGCATCGCCTGAGCCCCGGAGGTCAAGGCTGCAGTGAGCCACGATGGCGCCACTGCACTCCAGCCTGGGTGACAGAGTGAGGCCCTATCCGCCACCCCACCCCACCCCGCCAAAAAAGTGTTATGTTACAACTCCACCCGATTAAACAAAATGGGCAGAAGATATGAGCAGACACTTCAGAAAAGAAGATGTATAAGTGGCTAATAAGCACATGGAAAGATGCCATTGTTAGTCTTCGGGGAAATGCAAACAACACAGACTCCCGCACGTGCACGACACCCTGTGTGCACCCGCACTGCCAGTGGGAGGGCAAAGATCCCGCACATGCACGACACCCTGTGTGCACCCGCACTGCCAGTGGGAGGGCAAACAGCACAGCCCCTGTGGAAGATGGCTACAGTTTCTCAGAAAGTTAGATGTGCACCTTCCTGTGGGCCAGCCACTCTGCTCCCAAGAGAAATGAAGACAGATGTCCACATGAAGACATGTGCCAGGGCCTCTGCCGCAGCTTCATCCAGTCACCAGGAACTGGGAGCAGCCCAGGCACCCACCGGCAGGCGATGGGTAATGGTGGCGATGTTTGGCCACACGGTGGAAAAATCCTTCGGCTGTGGAAAGGAAGAAAGTGCAGATAAAACAACATGGAAGGATCTGAAGGTCACTGTGTGCAGCCCCTTTGTATAAGACTCTAGAAGATACGGCTGCAGTCCCGTCAACTCCTGGGCGCTGGGAGCCCAGGCTTTTGGGGGCCGCAGCGAGCGCTGGTAGCTGCGTGGGACCAGGCGCCATCCCAGCTGTGGTGGCAGCTTCAAGGGGGTGGTCAGACTCACCTGCTTGTGTACTGACATGGATGTGGTTTATTGTATGTAAAGTACACCTCTGTAGAGTTGACTCAATAGCAGATGAAAGTGTTGGTTGAAATCTTGGTCTTCTGGTTGCTGAATCAAAATGATGTTTTGTGACTTACTGTGGTACTCAGGACACCCTTTAACCAGAGAGGGAGCAGAAGGGTCTGTGATGTCTGGAGTTTTCCACCAAGCAGAGGAAGATGGACTCTGCTGGGCAAATGTTAAAGGGACAAAAGGAAAAGCAGACTTGATCACACTCTGTGGGTGGGGCGAGCAGCATGTCTGTGACTTTAACACGTTCCAGCTGAAGGATTTCACGTCAGAGAGAGGAGGAGCTGAATTAGAGAAGAGCATGCTTTGTTTTTTTTTTTTTTTGAGATGGAGTTCGCCTTGCACAGGCTGGAGTGCAGTGGTGCAGTCTCGGTTCACTGCAGCCTCCGCCTCTGGGCCCAGGTGATCCTCCCACCTCAGCCTCCTGAGTCGCTGGGACCTCAGGCTCCCGCTACCAGGCCCAACTAATTTTAAACTTTTTGTAAACTTTAACGGGGTCTGGCCGTGTTGCCCAGGCTGGTCTCCAACTCCTGAGTTCAAAAATTCCGACCACCCCCACCTCCCAGAGTCCTCCAGCGGCTCACACCTAGGCAGCCTGGTCAGTTTGTGAGGCCATGACCTGAATCCAGCATGGAGTGGGCGACAGAGTGGAACATCCCTGTGGCAGGGATTGGATCTGTGGCCTCCAGGGCCTCAGTCTCCCTGCTGCTCACAGCCCTTTCCAAGGACCCCTGGCCTAGGCCATCAAGAGGAGCTCCACAGGCCTGGCTCGGCCTCAGCCCCTCTCAGGGTAACTTGCCAGGGAGGCCCCTGAGCCAGTGCAGTGATACCACTTGAGGGTTTGTGCGCCTGGCAGGCGTCTCCTCCCTTTACTTAGGAAGGCAGGGCCATGGCGCCAGGTCCTGTGGCTGGCAAGTGCAGGAGAGAGGGGTTTGTGCGGGAGGACCGGTGCCCACTGCGTGCAGCCTGGGCCACTGAGTTCCGTGCTTGCTCCCTGAGCAAAGGCCAGGCCAAGGGCCTGTATCCCAGGCCCTCTCACCCGCAGGAGGCCAGCAGGCCAGCTCGGGGGAAATGCTCATGGAGACAGCCCTGCCAAGGCCCCCACAGCCCAGGGACGGCCCCTCCAGGACGCTCTGCTCGACAGCCAGGGACCAGCAAGGGTGTAGACAGAGGGCCCAGACTGGACCCAGACCCCGCACTGTAGGCCACAGCCCACATGGGTTGCCCTCGAGTGACCACGGTCTCACCTGCTGCCTTCATCTGCAGGACTGGGCCGGGGTCTGCAGGGCTCAGCTGAACCCATGAGCTCCCAGAGCTAACCCCTGACCACCAGGGCAGGCAAAGGGCTGATGTCGGTATCCCCCATCCTGGAGGGGCAGGTAAGGCCCCGCCTACACCTCGCCCCCCCCTC